TATATTTTAGAGACGCATATTATTTCATAAACATTACATTTTCATTGGCAATTGTATTATCCGATCAGGGTACTGCGGAGCGCTTTGTAGACATCTTTGCCTTCAATTTTGCAACACAATAAATGAAATTCCCATATCAACCTACCAAACCTGAGCCCAGTATTTTTCCAACGCCGAAACCAATTTGCAAGAAACCCAGTTTATAATTATTGAATACAACACCCATTAATTTAGTCTAGGATTCCGCAATATTATTCTAATTTTAGACGTCGGCCGTTTGAAGCGTATATTTTAAACTTGTTTGTTTGAAATATTTGTTGTTCCGACGATCTGTTGTTTAGCATTCTTAATTTGTTACACTTGAAGATTACAAACACGGAAGTAGCTAAGGGTCATCAACAACAAAATCCGATAGAAAAATTATGCCACTAAAATGACATAGAATTCAAATCTCAGAAATTGATTAAAAGCACCCTTGATACTTAGGTACAACACCACGTTGACAATGAAGGGAGCTATGGAGACCTTATTTCTTTTTTTAAATTGAAACTGTAACTAACTTTGTCGGTTGTAAACTTTTGTCGACACTAACTACATTACAGTTCTGTATTATCTTCTCACCAGTTACATTAATTAACTCATTGAGTATCGTCATTATAGACACAATTATAGAACAATAGGTTGCGGTCACCGGTGACCGCTTGGTGTTTGACAGTTCAATAATGTCTTAATGAACTGAGCAATTATGGCAAAGTATTTCTAATTCTCTTCTCAACACCCACTTAGGTACAGTCTTGATCTAAGAAAACCAGTATAAGAAAAATATAAGAAATACAAAAATAAACTCATCAGTCGGGCAAGCCCATCAACATTCAACATCAACCATGTTTATTGACAAAAGGCGCGCCAACAGCCAACAGCGTCACAAATAGAAAACATATGCATGAACTGCAATATTGACAAGTTTTACCTCATTCGTTGACTCCACTCCCTCGTTTAATACCCCTAGCATTTATTTCTATTATCTTTCAAGTTGACATTCGTCTGTAATAGTTAAAGAATGAGAAATTCACTCTTTTGTTACGTTTGGAACTGGTATTATCATTTTATGTGTATTTTTCTAAGATAAAGTGACAGGTGTAAGCTGCGTGGGCGATGCAGGAAATACTTTAGTAGCGAAGTACTTGAATATTGATCTTCATTTAGTAGCGGGTAATACTTGCTGAAGGAGTGTTAAAAATGATCTCTCATACTTAATCCGAAACATATTTTATTTATGGTATCGGGACGCAAGCAAGCAGAGGAATCACCTGATGGCAAACAATAGTGCAGGTTATAGACTCTGGTAACACTGGACAAGTTACAAGTGCGTTTCCTGCCTTTTGATGGTGACTTAAGGAACTAGGGATTGCATTGGTGACGAGAAGAATACATTCGGGGTACAGTCAAAGTGTCCATTGAAACAAAGGTGATTAGGTAGTACCTAGTGCACTTTACAAAATTGGGGATTGTCAAATAGTATAGTGCTAAAATTCACTAGGCCTAAAACCGGATCAGGTCTGTTCAGAGTACCCGGTGCCACTAGCAGGTGCAGAGGGGATGGGGTTGGTTTTAGTGAGGTATATACGAATCTCACACTCCCTAGTCTTTCTCCCCAAAAAGCTAGGCGCATTTTGAAGGTTTCCCTCCGTCATAAATAAAAGAAAGAGGCCTAAACCCTAGTGAATTTAGGGAAAAATACATTGGTCGCTGGATATCAACATACAGCATAAAATACCAGTTAGTACATGTACATGTGAGTAATGTACATGTACCTAGCTAGCAAAATATTCGTGAGTGAAGAAAAGGTAAAAAGAAGAATGATATAGGCTCCCTTTTCCCAGTCATACAAAGAAGATCTGACCAAAAACCATCTGTCAATCAACCCTAGCCACTAACTTCCTAGTATTAACATCAAATTAGACCAAATCCATCACAAAACCCCCTAATGAGTTCTAACAAATGTATTGATATCAAATTAGTGTCAATTTCAGTGATCAAAATTTTATACATCACGTTATGACCATTAGCAGATTATAATAACTATTTGACGGCGAAATCGTGAGTGGTGATTAACATATATATGACAATTATGTAGGTTTCTGTCATATCATGATGAGAAACCGTGTGTACCCCTTTTTGGGCGGATGGGCCGAAGGGGGGAAGTGCTAAATAAGTTAGTTCCTCCAACGTCATATAAAACATGCACTAAATAGGCTTGAATTAGGCACACGTTTTTAGAAAAATATTTGTCGTATTCGTATAATCCAAACACTGGATCTTAATCCGATAATTCTACTATGTCATACCATCGTGAAAATATAAATCACAGAACTTAGAAATAAATACGTCCATGTCAGGCTATATCGCCAAATAAATTCAAAGTCATTAAGAAAGAAAACACCATGCCCCTTATAGTATAATTTTAATTGAAAACGATAGGAAACAATTACATTCGTGCGCTCTTCTGGAGATGCAAACCTCTCTTCGTACACTAGGCAATAAAGATCTCTTTTTTCTTCAGTTACACATACATACATAAATAAAATGAATAGCTACATTTATGATAGTAAACATCGTATCGTAAACACTAGAAACACATGGGTTGTTTACTGTAGCTGTGATAAAATACCTGTCGTGCAATCCGTTTAACAACATACATAACGTTATTAACATTTTCTGGACGTACAAACTCAAAAACCATAAAAGTACCTACTACCTAGTGTTCGTAAAACAAATGAGAGAAAAGGGAACCGCAGAGGGCTTCTTCCTCATGAGCAGCGTGCGCGGTCGTGGCGATGTCGCGTAGCCTACTTTCGGTAGATTCGAAATTATTAAAGCTTTTCTCAGTATATTCACGTAAGTAACCCGCGATTTTCAGTTAATTTAGTATGTCTCACGGTAGTTATTATAAAAACGAGAGTAAAGGGCTAGGAATTCCTTCTAATTGCACACAAACACGAGTTATGATTATAACTCGTAAAAATGTAAATATGTAGATAGATGTAGCCAAAAAAACTTTCAATAAGTACTTTACGTATAAAATTACCATGTTTACAATAGCAGGCCTATTATTTTAATCAAGCAATTCCCGAAAGTTATTTAACGTTTCGCAATGACCACAACGGGCATCTTTCCCTCTCAACAATGTAGCCAGCAGGTATCTAGATAACTACATAGAATATAGATTGTACACGATTATCAGTTGTTAGATAAAAGTGGCAGGCTCTGCGACACTTAAGTGTGATTTATTTATCAACTACTTACTTATCTCAACTACAATTGTCATCACACATCACTGAATACTAAGTACAAGATTATATCCACTACTACTACACACTTCAACGGCCCGTGACAGTCCATTGGTGGACTATAGGCCTCCTCTTTTTGCATAATTCTGCTATTGCCATAATCATTACCCTAGGTGTCCTCGGGGATGTGATCGGCGTCGGCGACGTTTCGCGTCCGTCCAAGATGCGGAGCGATTGGATTAAGATGCCGTCTCCTCATTTTGCGAAGCAGTCATGCTAGCTACGAAGGAGGCGGGGCCCGTGAGGCAGAAACTAGAAACCTCCTCACAATCCAACCGTCGCGAAGGACACTCCGGGGGTCGGGGATCGCGAGACGATCTCCAGTCAAGCAAGGGCTCGCTGCCCGACCACAACAAGACCCGAGCGTACGGCGCGTCGCGTTCCGCACACGCCTCTTAGAGCCATCACACCCCCACGGATGGGGCCTAATATGGCTGAAAAAAATTCCGGGGTTCCGGCTTGAAGTGACGGAGTAAGAACGGGTGGCTTTTAGTAAGTAGAAGAAGAAATTCCACCTCAAAAAAGCATGAGTGGGTAGGATTGTGAGAACTGTATCCTAGATACTCTGCAGATCCGCAGTCATATCAAATTAATATGAGTGGGTAGGATTGTGAGAACTGTATCTTAGATACTCTGCAGATCCGCAGTCATATCAAATTAATATGAGTGGGTAGGATTGTGAGAACTGTATCCTAGATACTCTGCAGATCCGCAGTCATATCAAATTAATTTAAAAGACTTGTAATTTTATTATATAATCGTTTTTCCTTTAGGTACTGTATTCCTCGAAGGGGTACCTAGAAAGGCTAGTAGACGGAGGTTATACTAGTGTTAATGTTAATCTTAATCTGACTAATTTCCTTTTTCGTCAGTCGTGCCTCAGAGAGTATGAGTCTCATCAACTCACATGCACTATTAGTATAATTTAATTATTCACCTGATGAACATCGAAGAGATCTTAAAGCAACAGGACATGCAGTAAGTACTTACCTGTATTAGTTGCGTTAGGTATGTTCCGTATTTACCTACTGAATATTGAAAATGTTACCTGTGTTCTTTGTGTCCACTTGCCTGGATTTTTCGACATGACGAGATTCCCGCTTTTTTATGTAATTCAAGTGGTAGGTAGCGCCATCTTGTAAAACGAATACAATATTCAAGTTCAATATTTATATGCGTGCAATATTTTTGTTAATGTTGTTATATAAAAGAGACAACTAAGCGCCATCTTTTGAAATATATTGCTAACTATTTTATTGAACAGAAAATATGTGTATTCTTAAATCGATGTGAAATGTATTAATTTTATCAAATAAAACTAAATAAATGTATCAAGCCCTGTAATAAAAATTGAATACTGAAAATACGACAAAATTCATGTTGCATCAAATATATAAAGGACTAAGATAAAGAACGTAACGTAACTTGCACACAGCACAATTAATACGAACTTAGCTTTATTCTCTTTACGGTAATATTTACAAAAATATGTTCAAATAAAATATGCATGCTAATGTAAAAGTTAGAAACAATATTTTTTGTATAAATATAAAAACCGGTATTTTCCGCAGGTGACTAAAAAGCCAAAGGCGCACATATTGCAAAGTATTTTTATTTTGTCTATGGTACACAAAGGTGGCGTGGCCCCAATGACATTTCATTATCGCGTCGCCATTTTGCGTTGCTTTTTCCTTTGCAAACTGTGTGGCTTATTGAATTTAAATCACAAAATAATAATTGTTTTTGTTATAGCGAAGCTGTGATTGTTAGTAATTAAGTAGTATATTATATCTAATTGTTTTTAACTTATTTTATTCTAAGTTTGGTGTATTTTACGTTACAATGGGCAGAAAGAAGAAGAAGGCATCTAAGCCATGGTGCTGGTATCCTTTTCAAATAATAAATACTAAATGGATTACGAAATTAGATTTGTACACGACCTTCATATTTAGGTCAAACGTTAATTTAACTTGATACAGTAGCCAATAGTCTGATAAGTTTCCTTAGCCATAATTCAGGTACTGCAACAGGGAGTTCGACGACGAAAAAATTCTCATCCAACATCAGAAAGCGAAACATTTCAAATGTCACATTTGTCACAAGAAACTGTACACGGGACCTGGATTGTCAATACACTGCATGCAGGTATGTGCGTCAGTGCCACAGTTTTGGCATCCGCCTCGCCCGCCCACGGCCAACGCGCGCTCGCTTTTTTTAACTCGCATACATATAACTATCTATACATATTTTGGCGCGACTTACGGGCCCAATTCTGCTCCCATAGTAGTACTACACAAAATGTCTTTCCCTATTTTCACTTGGGTGGGTGAATTTATTGTACAAGTGATTATAAAATTGTCAATAGAAGATGATAACATCAATATTTTCATTTCTGTTACAGGTTCACAAAGAAGCCATAGATAAAGTACCAAATTCATTACCAAATAGGTCAAATATAGAAATAGAAATCTATGGTATGGAAGGTATACCACCTGAAGATGTGAAGGAGCATGAGAAACAAAAATCAGGTATAAAAAGTTTTTTTATTTGGCTGCCAAACTGAGCCACTTTGGATTGATGTATGTACTTATTTCATTACTATGCTTGGGACACTAGATTATTGTACATAGGTGTGTAGTTTGTTTCAATGTTCCAACATAAAGTAGGTAGTGGAGCTTCGAAGAATGAGGACATTGTTCTAATGTTTTTAATTTGTACAGGTGGTGGCAAAGGATCAGATAGTGACGATGATGAGCCTGCTGCAAAGAAAAAAGCAACGCCTGCACTGGTAAGTCCATGCGCCCCTGTCCCACTATATATGTATATACAGTGAAACCTTCTTCAAAAGTGCACTAAAACAATCCTTGTTATAATTTACTACTACACACTTTAACACACAATATTTTCAACATCAGTCTATATTATTGTTGTTATCAAACCTTTATCTTGAATATTAACATTTTTATCTTTAAGATAAGTTAGTAAATCCCTTCCTATATTGTTGTTTTTGTCCACAGCTGGGCCCTGGTCCCTCACAAGTCACTCCCGGCATATTGCCCACACCTATGGGACCAGTTCCTCCGGGGATGTACCCAGGGCATATGCAAATGCAGATGCATATGCCTCCCTTTATGCAAGCACCTAGGTAAGTCACAAAATTTGTGGTAATTTAGACTATAAGATTCTTATTCCTTAAGGACTTTTAACTTTATATGGAGTTTATAATTGTGACTCTTGATCAACATTAAAGATTTTGATAACATTATATCAGGCAGATAAACATAATTCTTAAAAAACAAACACATGTTTATGATACTCAACTGAAACAAAACAACAATTGGGTTCAACATTGAATTATTTAATACATACAATTATTCACATGTATTATTGTTAAATCTTAGTTTCTTCTACTGTCATATAGTAATTAATTTATTGAACACATTGTAGTAAATCAACATCTTATTTCAAATCAATCACAAAGTTAATGTTCCTACTAGTATAGTTTACATAGGTATCAACATAATGACGATGTTATACACAACAATAACAAAGCAGGTTTCTCTATATATACCTATATAAGTACATGCAGGTTGCATGCCAGTATAACTGTGTTGCTCACCTTGCCCTGATGTAGTATTAAGGTCATAGATACATTGTGTTAAAGTTTAGATATTACCTTCTTGGTCTTTGAATTTTCTTTTTTAATTTACTCTTCTAATAGATTTTGACACCAGCCGATTCAACTAATAAATAGACTAGAGAAACATGTTGCAAAATATGACTTTAATTGTAGCCAACTTCAAAAAAATAAAGATGTTCTCAATTTGAACATATCATTGATGTTTTATCGTCTTAATCACTTTATATAAAAATTCCCAGAATTTGTTCATACAATAGCAGTCTCTAATTATCGGAAATAAGTTCTATAATGAAGTTAGTGGAGAGTGGTCACCGGTTAATATTAGTCTCACATTGAATTAAACTTATAATAGGTACATCCTTTTGACAATGAACAGGTGTGATTTAATCTAAAGCAGTCAGTCGGTGTGCCTGTTACTTCGCGGTATATCAAAGTTAACTGTTTGAATTTGACCTACAAACACAAACCATCCATACTTTCACTATTTTATTGGTTCACTTGTACAACACAATAACTTATCGCATTTTATTTATTTATTTTATTTTTCGCAATAATACCTGTTTCACTTTCTTTATGGCCAAGATAACAACGTAAATAATACAGACGAATTGATAACAGCCTCTTTTTTTAAGTCTGTTAGAAATATTTGAACTTACTACTCTTACCGCCGGCATTTCTGCACCTTATGCGAAAGAACTTAAGTGCTAAAATGCACTATGACCCTTATGTGCAAATATGGTAGTTGACAGGTTGTCAAATTCAATACTTTTATTGAAATTTCAAAAACGATACTTTTCTATTAATTTTGTATTGGATCGCCACTTATGACGTCATCATATTTCTGCGTCAAACAGCATAGGTATTTATTTCCTTAAAACTAGCGAGAAAAAAATCCAAAAGTAGGTAAATTGTCAAATCTATGGATGAGAGTATGATTATTTTTTAATTATTTATTGCATTGAAATGTTGAAACAATTTGTTTTAAACCTAGGAAACTAGCTAATTGTATCTTCATAATTTTCTAATACTAGCTAGTTTGTAACGCGGCTTACTCGTCTTTGCTTTCAGTACCGGCGTAGTCTGAAACAGTCTTAACTCATTATCACAATAGTTTAGTGACGTCATTCTTTTTTATATGCCATTCATCATCAAGTGTTTTCCATGTTAACAGATATTATGTAGAGTGTTGAGACTCTTCTAATGGAGCGGCCTGGTCTACCGCACGGTTGGCAGGTGACATTAGAAACGTCGATACAAGTTGTACGTACACAGATTGTTGTATGAATTACTTTACCATGTAATTCATGAAGACTAATGATGCTGAATGTTGGACACACTTGCATATCACCATCACGCTTGATATTTTGTCGCAGTGAAGTTTGGTTACCGTCAGATGGACTGCGCGCGCAGTCATGAACTTTATGCGGTGTGTTGCAGTCATTCTGATGGCAGCCGAATTGGGATGTTTTCTTAGTTAGTGCATTTAATATTCTACATTTTAAGTATTACATCTTGTCTGTTTGCGAGATAAAAGTATGCTTCACGCAAAATAATTCATCGTCACAAAATGGTCAAAAAATATAAATTTTGTGGCATTTAGGACTCGAAAATATCCCAATTAAAGCATCAGTAGTAAAATCACCCATATTGCAGAGGAAATCACGTCAAGGTCATATTACTACTGGTGTGCAGTCAACTGTACATTTGGTGAATAATCAATGAACAGTCCCAATTAACATTTTAATGAGGGTTTCGACACGTGTTGGCATTTTAATTAGACTTGTATGTACAAAAAAAAGAAATCGGCACTTGCATAGCTAATTTGTAATCTAACTCGGGCACGCAAGGGGCTGTTTATCTCGTAAAACTGATTGATGTCACAGTGCACGATAATCTGAGCACTGTTTTATTCATGTGTTGCTAGTGGTTTTCGAGTCTTTGTATGTTACCAAAATCATTTTGTTAACTATTTAATATATCTTGTGACACCATTTCACGATCCAAGAGACAAGGAGACATAAAATATTGTGATGAAAACAGACCAATTTTCATATAGTGACATAAACATCATATCCCATCAACAGCTCATCCTCTTACATTGCTACAATCATTATCATACAATAATTTATTTTTATTTATTTAATAACAATATATTGTATGGAAAATTGACGATAAAGTGCGCCTCTGTTAACATTGGATTCGGATACACATGTCCTGCTCTATATTGACTGCACGGTTGGAGCGGTGCTTGGGCGCCTGGCTGCCACGCAACGTGTCGCGGGTTCGATTCCCGCACAGAACAAATCTTTATGTGATCCACAGATTGTGGTTCCACGTCTGAGTGTCGTGTGCATTTGAAATTGTATTTTTGTAAACGCACCCACACGACACCGGAGAACATCCTAGTGTAGATAGCTCAATACGATAGCGACGTTTAAAAAATATGTATTACCTATATAGTAAAATTCTACATAATTGTTTCAGAATGATGATGCCGGGAATGCGGCCATTATTCCCTGCGGTCAGCATGCCTCCCACATCGACGAGTAAACCTACGTTCCCCGCCTATAGGTAAGCCCGCTAATTATAACTAACATCTATTAATAGAGATATTACACTAATGGTGAACTTCTCGGTTGAATCGCATTCACGTGTTTACGTACGCCACGTGTTCCGTGTTATACATTTTATGATGCTTTTTAACCTGTACAAAATTAGATTTCTGTAAAGGATTTTGAATGTTATTGTTTTGTAATAAAAACGAAAATGTATTGATGAAAATCGATGATTTGAGATATCTTCATGTGCTAGTGTTTAAAGATTTATAGAATATTTTCTATTAGCTACTAGTTTACTCAACGAAATCATGACATTATCAGCTAGTCAAAGAAATCTAAGATAATTTGGATAAGATAAAATCAGTTCCCCAATTTACGTAAACTGGCATTAGTAGATGGTTTCACAATTTCAACTCTAAAACTGAACGGTATGAATGTGAACTAACCTAAATTCCATGTTGCTGAAATTTTTATGTGACGTCATCTCAACACTTCGCTAATGAAGATGTGTTCAAAGAAATTTATTCTTTTGGTTTAACGCTTCGAATGTTTCGACGATGTCATGAAAAACGGATGCATTGTAAATTCCAACACTCTCTAGTCCAAATGTTTTGGCACCACGCATCTGCCACGTTGGAATTCGTTGCACAGTATCGTTAATTTACTTCACGATTGTGTTCACTAATTACGCTGTCGAATAACTTACTGTAATAAGTAAAATAGAAATATTTTCTAAACAATTTTGTTACTTTTTACCAAACTAATGAGTGAATTTTGTATTCAATGAGTCTTTTTCGTATAAATATCTCGTTTATGTAGCATAATGTAGATAATAATAAAAACAGTAATGTCAGTATGCTAATTATTCACATTAGAGACTATGTGAATACTCAGTACGACAAAATATTTATGTAGCTGAAAATAATGTGAAGATATAACTAAGAGACGCTCCATTTGTTCGTGTACAATAAATTGTCTGGAACACCAGTTAATTAAATACCTTGAAACTTACGATTTCTAGACCAGATAAAATTATCTCCTAAGAGCATGTATTTCGCAATAATTTGAAACAGCAAAATGTTATGCAATTTAACTCAACCACGATCAAATTGTTATCACCTTCAACCCTCATAAAACAATTTACAGTAATGCGACAATAAGTGCGCCGCCCACGACGACCACGCCCTCTAGTAGTTCGGATCACAAGGAGAATGGTGAAGTAAAACCTCCCGCGGCAAACGCGTGTCCTTTAGTGACGGCCACTGGGGCCGGCTCTAAGATTATACACCCCCCTGAAGATGTCTCATTAGAAGAGATCAGGGCTAGAAATATTAAGTACAGAGCGAAACCTAAACCTGACGCACCCGCTGCCCAACCGCAGCCTGCGCCCGCCATGATCACTCCCAGCACGAGTCAAGCAGAGGTATGGGTTAGTGGTTTTTATATTTATTTATATTTATGTTGTTTGAAGCACCCTGTAGTTTTCTTTAAATGCACCTTTTGTTGTTCTAATACTCAATTTTGCTTCGATAGTTTTGATTTTAATATGTCCATACTAAAACAAAATCCTAGAAAGAGTTATCCTTGTATTCAAATGTAATCTAATTTAATATCAAATTCGAAAGCATTTGTATTCTAACAGCATCCGTGTGGAATCTAGCAAAACATTTATTTAACTTTAGAGATGCTAAAGTTTCGTTTACGAAACGCGAGCGTTTATGCTTATTTATGTTTGTTGATTATACAGTTAGAATGTTTATGTTACACGAGAAGAAATATTTGAGTTTTGTCCTATTTTTTCGTACTGTTAAATGCTTGTGTTTTATCTAAATTCTTTAGTTCAGAAACAATAGAATTGATTTAAAGTAAATATTTAATGAAATATGATTTCTTTTTTGTTGTTTGGGTTGCCTACAGCATAGATTGGTCTTAAGACATAGTGAGTAACATAGTTCCGTTGTGGCGTGCAGGTGGCGGCACACATGAACGCGGCGGTGGCGGCGGCGCGGCAGCAACAAGCGGCGGCGGCGCTGCGGCGCGGCGTGCTGGGCGGCATGGCGGGCGGCATGGGCGGCGGCATGGCGGGCGGCGTGGCGGGCGGCATGGGCATGCACGGCATGGTGGGCATGCTGCCGGCGCCGTCGCTGCGCGTGCCGGGCGTGGTGCCGCACGTGCCGGTGTCGGTGCCGCAGATGCCGCCGGTGGTGCCGATGCTGCCCGTCATGCCGCAGTTCAACCTCGTGCGTCCGCTGCAGCCCGGTCAGTACCCGCACCCATACCGATAGCAAGACCCGCCCTCGCCACAGACACGACACGTTTGCAAAATGCCTTATCATACCTCCCCCAGTTACAAAATTACCCATATCGACTTCGATCTGACTGAATCAAATTCGTAATTTCAGAACGATGATCATCAATGCCCAATGGTGACATTATGTTCGTAAGGCAATTTACAAACGCCCCACGAGTATCCCGAGCGTCTCTCGTGCTCAAAAACTGTTCTGAGGACATTCTGTGAAGTTTGATAATGTTGAGACATTGTATAGTAATGTTTACACCCCCTTTGACCATGTTTACGAGTGTTTATAAAGTGGTGACATGATGGTTAGCTAAGCTCGTAACTGTAACGACTGCTGTCTCCATTTCTTGTCCGTGTTTAAACCTCTGATGTCCTTTCAGATGACCCCCCAATGAACAGTATTACGATGTATTTGTATGGATATGATATTCTAACGTAGGACATATCAAAGTATTAGGTAATTCGTATTGATTATATTCTCGTTGTCTTTGATGTTGCACATTGAACATGAAGTTAAATGTATTTAATTGTAACAAATTGTATTTTTGATGTTGAAATGGTCCAAAGCCGAGACTCGTTGAATTTTTTTGTACAATGTAAACCAAAGAAATTATGTAATGTTTAAGGTTAGATAAAGACTGGACTCTTAGTACATTCCGATTGAAAACTCACCATAGTCGTCCATATTTTTATATTCGCATAAATATTGACAGAAACACAGTTGACACGATAATGTAGTTGTGTAACACACTGTTGGTATTATTTTTGCATTTATTGAACTTAAGAATAATATAGAGTGGGTGGTTTTCTTTAGTTTTAATAATATTTGCTTTACGATAGTTTAGTTTAAGAAGACAGTAAGACATTGTTTTGAATCTTTTTTGTTACACACGCGACGCGTGCTATATCTGAACGTGGAAAATGGAGTGTCATAATAATTAATAAGCCAATAAAGGTGCATTCACTAGAGTGATTTTATTTTTCTATTTTCCACGGCAACTGGTATGATCTAATTAAGACATCACTAGCTTTAGTTATTTTGACTGTGTGTAAGGAAAATGATCGCTTATGTTTTAAGAGCGTGGAGCCGTTGTCCACTTAGTTCGCTAATGTTGGAAGGCATCACAAGACGTGGCGGCTGCGGTCTTGTGGTCGGTGGGTGCCTTCCTAAAGTCGCCGCGGCCACAATGTCTCTAGTAACGAACACATAACAGCTTGTCGATACTCACCCCTAACGCCCACTAACACGACCGGCCGACCTCTCACCCCCCTAGTACCGGACCACTCGTCCTAGACTTACACTGTCAAGACTATAACTGTGATTTTGATGTGCCATCCGCACTATCGGAGGACGGAATGAAAATGAGCGGTAATTTTATTCACATTCCTTAATGGATTTGCTTATTGTAGTAGCTCTTATCTTATTACTGTCTCGATTTTCTCGTAGTGTCATATAAAATATGACTGTCGGTTAACGGGTGGGTACACTAATATTATATTTACGTACAGTAGTTTTGTCGCTTTACAATGTGCATGACAAGAACGAGTTAATAGTCGTTGGCTGAATTGGATTCTACGAGCAACCATTCTCGGATCACACTGAACATGCATGAACTACGGATATTACGATTATTACATCGCCGAGTATTTTGGAAGTGTGATTTTTCATGTGAATTATTTATCCTACCTACCTGTGTTCCTTTGCTTATACTGCACCTTACTCGCGGGCGGCCGGCGACGGTTGCGGCGCGGTGACAGGCGATTGTTCTGCAGTCACCACGGCTGGCCGTGTGTTGGACCGAGGTCCCCTGTTGCCACGCGCCGCGGCCGCCCGTGACCGAGACTGTGTGTGCAGGGATGTTGCTGCCGGGAGGCGTGATGCCGATGGGCGCCATGTTCCCGGGCGGCATGGTCATGCAGCCGCGCTACCGATAGCCGCGCCGTCCGCGCCGCCCCGCGCCCGCCGAGCGAAGGTAGGCGCTCGTTTGTTTCGTATCTACGTCCGCTTGACGGTTGTGTGTCCGACGCTCGTTGCTAAGCGCGGTGAGGGGAACTAACGGAAGGTAAGGCGGCGCGAGGCGGACAGGTGATGGGCGGTCGCCCGGCATTGGCCGTGGTTGGGCCGGCAGTTCCCTGCGGCCCCGCAGGCGACGGAACCTGTCACAACATGAGTTGTTGGATTGGCGGCCCCCTGTCCCTTAGCATAAGTCATTATATTCCTACCTTACCACTGAGCTCTCACATAGACTGTCAAAAGCAGAATTTCTGTAGTGAATTCCGTTCTTAATTAAATTTCTGGTGTTAAGAGATGTGTGTAAGAATAATAATTGAAATAAATGTTATCTGCCTTGATGATTCTCTAAGCGTTTCCATTTTAAAGTTGTGACGTTTGCCTACTCTTGTAGAATTTTGACTATTTTACGCAATAAATGCTCTGGACATGACACCCTGGTTTTATTTTACCTTTGCGTTGTAGATCCTTGTGCTACTAAGTTAACTTAGTTGTTTGTTACATACATTGCATCCGCCTGTATGAAATGAAGCGTAGGTAAAAGCACGCTTTGTGTTGTATAAGTTTTTTATTGAAGTAATGTATTAAGTACCTAATTATTTTTACATAGACTTCCCATTATCTTAGAATAAATACTGAAAAGCCCATGTGGCTACTTTTAAAAGTAGTGTATGAAAAGTTTTACCAAATAAACAGACGGATTACCTGCCTGATGGTAAGCAATCGGCGCTGCCAGTGGAAAACTGGACGCCCACAACATCATAACACTAAAGGAGTTACAAAGGCGCTACTGGCCTCTCCTTTCACAGGGATATTAGACCCGTGACAATAAAGTTTGCTCTTCAAGATTTTGAAATATTAACTGGGGGGTCACGCGTAAGTATATTTAAAAACCTTTAGAATGCAACTACAGAAAGTTATCCATGAAAGAACTACAAAGTTATGTTGGATATTAAATGGTTGAGTAATGAGTATGTCTAGAACAAATGGTGGAAAATTAAATCCATTTATCGAGGAAGGTTATAAAATGAAGCAGCAGTCGTATGATCAATAGGAGCCAAGCAGAGGTGTGAACAGAAATTGTAGATTTCCATCAATCCACTATTGTGTAACATAAATTACATCTTATTGGTCCTGAAGTACTATATACATAATATAGGTCTTCATAATGAAAGTGGGTAGCAAATTATTCTTGAATGACATTGTAATGCAGTACGATTTTACTCCTCTATGCGACCCTGGTATGTGCATCTTCATGGATACTCCAATATCTTTCAACAATATTTTCAACCACTTTGTAATGTACTTCCTAGTCCTACTGTTATGCAGTCCCAGTTCTTCGAAATAAATATGGTGTAATTTTGGTACCTAAGTTTGAAGCATTGTTTTAGAGGTTTTTTTCTTGTTATGTAATTATAAGTACCTACATAAATGGGATAGAGTTGTAGTGACCTCAACTGAAGTGGGCCCACTTGTAAAACTCCTGAGCCCTTGTCAAGAGTATGAAAGGTCCATTATACAGCTTACGGGACAAAGCCCTAGTGAAATTTACAACGTTGAAATCGTTCTGTAGTCGTCCGAATCGTCAGATAAATCATTAATAAAGTACCGTAAAATGAGGGTGGATAGGGATCGAGAGATGAATAGAGACAGAAGAGGGGTGAATCGATATTGGCAAATTTTTTATAGTATCAATTTACCCTTCTTCTGTCCCTATTCACCCCCGTATGTACTTGAATTCGAAATTTAATATGTACCTCGATATCTATTTGCATACGCACATTTTTATAAATATGGGGTAAAAGGTTTCTGATAACGCCACTTGCAACAAATTAGATTTAGCTTCAGTAGATTAAGTAGGTTACCCTACAGGATTCTAGTAGTTTAGGAACCTGCTGCATGTAGCGCCGTCTCATAGCGTCCGTAAATGAAATAAGTATCCATATTAATAAAGCTGTATATTGAATTATAATAAAAGGTCTCGTCTGTACACATAACACATTTATACACGACAACTATTAGCTAAGTCGTTATAAGAAGAAATATTGATACCGTATCCTAAATACATGAATTACAACAGGCTTAATATAATAAAGTAATAATACAATTATTGCATTTAACTAGTATCACCATTAAACGATTCGTTCAACCCAATTAAATATTTTAGTAAATAAATTCACAACATTAATCAATTTCAAATAAACAAATGATGCTATCCTCAAAAAATTCACAACAAATACTTAACACCTATTTATGGCAACATTAAAAACGCAATTTAAAATGCAAACATTTCATAAATCTGTAAAAAATGTAAGTGGCATTGATTATAATTATAATATTGCATATAACTTATCTGTTTCGTAACATCTAAGCTAAGCATTATACGCTACTTGGTCAGACGAAATACAAGTACATACACAATCACTGCAAGTTTACGATTTAGTTACAAAACTACAAAATTTGAGCTTTCCACGGTCACGACGTGACTCGATAATGTAAGTAGATAAGTAATGGATGCTTCGAAAGTTACGATTACACTCCTAGCGGCTCTAGCCCGCTATATTGAGCTCCTACTTTATAATAATTGCCCTTACGTAAGGCTACATACACACTAGAACTAAACAACCAATCTTTGTCGATATGTAACTGTTGTTTTACTTGGGACCTGACGATGCAAGGAAAATAAATCACAACCCTTTAGCTAATTGCGAACACACCTTTGGCACGCTCGGTCGGTTACAATTCGTGTTCATAATATTAATTTGGACTAGCAACGATCGAATACGAAACGAATACTGATTAGCTATACATTAGAGGTTACAAAATGTTATCCAGTCACATAGTTATCTAAAGTAAATGGCGCTAAGTTGGGGAAATGTACTTAGTGCTCTTGCACACGACTTCCCCAACGCCCACCGTGAGGGCCTCTCTGTCCTCTGCCACTTATCAAGGAAGCTCTATCGACGAATTAATCATACCATTAGCCTAAATACTTGGTGTCAACATCACTGTGGTCACCAGTATGGTAACCACAGCTAACAACTCCACTTCGTCATGTTGCGGGTACCTACAGCCCCGCTAGCTACTGACCTACCTACCCCAGTAAGTCTGGGGACGGAGTGATGTTTCTGAACACGTCGAGCGAGGGCGACGTGGAGCGCGCCAGGTCCGGGCACGGCGTGTTGGTGCGCGTCATCGACTCGAAGCGCTCGCGCATAGCGGCCACGTGACCTGCTATCACTACTTCTTTTCTTTCCTCTTTATCTTTAGCGTCAGACGCTCCCTCCTCCTCGACCGGCGGCCTGTCTGGCACCTCTATATCTGATAACAGAGACACTTCCGAGGATGCAGTGTAATACATCTCACTAACAGGTTCACAGGCCGCATTCACGGGCTCCGTATCTGAGGGGAACGTGTCCGTCTCGTCGGTAGGCGGCGACACCAGGGCGTCGCTCCATCGCTCGGCGCGATACGCCTCGATGGTCCGTAGTGACACCTCGGTCGGGCTGACGAGCTCCGCGTCACATTCCACAACTTGTGCGACTTCACTCTCTACTTCGACTTCACTCACTCTCTCTACTACACTAACTATATTGCTACTAACTGTATCGACTACCTCGTCGACGTTATCTTCCTCCGGTGACTCATCCGCGACTTCGTCATATGTAGAGGTCCTCATGGTTTCACACAGCCTGTTGATGGCGTCAAAGACATCCTTGAGATCGCTGACGTCATCGGTGGGCATCATGGGCTCTTCGATGGGGAGTACGTCGAGATCTGCGGAAGGTTCCTGTACGCAGGCGGGCAGTAACGTGGCGGCCAGGGCGTTGGCCGGACACAGCAGGGCGTGCGCCACCGACAGTAGCGCGTGCGCGGGCGCCGCGGCCGGCACCAGGTGCGCCGTGCTGCCCGACCGGGCCGGCGGCGGGTGCGGCC